CACGTGTGCGGCAGCTATAAAAGGAAATAATTAATGATTTATCACTCACACGTTGGTTGAGCCCGGCTATGCGCGTTGGAGCGGATTGCTTTGGTGGTGTTCACGCCCCAGAGTATGACAGAAACGTCACGCACATATAATGACACACACGAACCCACACGGACACACACAAACCGACACACACACCGACACAACAACAACCGCCATTCGCCACTAAGTGGCGGTGACGTTACCACGACGCTTGTGCCAGGCCAAGTGCACCTTGAGGCCACGTGAAGTGTGTCGAACTCCCGCTGGCAGGAGGTCACGGGGCAGACCCAGGTGCCACGGGTCGACTGACTGAGATGACACACACACTGACCCACACTGACATACACACTGACCCACACACTCAGTCTCGGGGGCTCCATCTGCTCGTGTTGTTATAAAGTAGCTCTAAATTAAAAAAAATATATGAAAACACAAATGTTTAACTTGCTTAGTAAAGTAATTGCATTTTTTCATTTGCTATACAGCCAGATAATACGACAAATCGCTCACCTTAAACATCCAGTCGTTCATAAAAAGTTGAAGGCAGTGTAGTACTATAGCAATAGAGCAAGTGCAGAATCACTGAACCGGAATAGACAGCTTGAAAGTATTTAGCGTGGGGCCCTAGAAAGTGTGGGCCCCGTAGCATTTGCTGCTTTTGCTACGAGGATCACCCGGGGCACTGTTCACGTCCCCTCTGGGTGCTTCTGTCTCTCCGCCTCCGTCTCTCGCGGTTTCACGGTGGCCGCGTCAGGCACGGGGAGTCGGCACCGCTGACTTCAAGCTGTGGGATCTGGTGCGGGGTGGGGGGGATCTTCCCCAAGGGGGACGCACGGTGGCCGTGTTCGAATCACGATGGCCTTGCTGGGGACGCTGGGCCAAGCGGCGCTGAGCTTGTGCTGGTGCGGGGGGGGCTTTGTTGTATATGTCGGGTCTTGAAAAATTAATAAAAAAATAATACAAATTAAATGAAAACGGGAAATGATGCAATTATCCAAAATTATGCTACTTTATTAAATTATGCGCATAAATTATAACTGGGGAGGTGTACTTGTGGCACGATTCAAATCTATGCGGTTATGCTAATGTGTGCAGTTATGATAATTAGGCTCAGCCTCGTTGTCTAGGGTTGTATTATCAATCGGGATAATCCAATGAATTGTATGAAGTTATGCAAGTGTGATGTAATTATGCTGGATTAAGCTCGGCTTCGTTATCTAGGGTTGAACCCACGGCGCTCTCGCTGGCGCTCTCCTCTTCCTCACGGGCGGCTGGTCAGGCTCTTTCCCCTGCTGGATGAGCTGAGTCGGCACGATGCTTGTCTTTGAAGGTGCACAATAGCGCTCGCTGCTCGTCCGCTGGCAGCTGACACCTTTGCTCGGTGGCGCTGGTGACGCTGCTGCGTGCTCTCTCCTGCTCCGTGCTCTCTGGCGAAGCACGATTGCGCGTGCAGCTGGTTCTCTACGATGCTGGCTTGGTCGATGCTTGGCGCTTTCTGTCCTTTCTCCCGGTTGATTGCTTGTCGTTGCTCGTCACTCTTTCTCTCTCCTTGATCGTGCAGCTGCCGGGTGGGAGCTGGCACTCAGTGTGGAATAACTTTGAGCGATACTTCTTCTGTCAGCGCCGAACTCGTACTCGGTAACACATCGCTACTCGGCAAGCCTTGCCATCCTTGGTCGATTGCAGGACCCACCCCAGAGCTTGCCGCTTGCAGTACTGAATTGTGTGTGTCGTGTCACTGTTAATATCTGAAATTATTTCCCCTTCGCACGTCTCTTGTGGGAAAAAAAACAGATGTCCTCTGTTTAGTTCTCCTGTGGCCGCAGGCGCCTGGTTGCCCCCCCCCCCCCCCCTTTGACCTTTGATGGTTTCTTTCCATCATAGTTTTTGTTTTTGTTTGCATTCCCCCCCCCCCCCCCTTTCTACATAGTGTTTGTTATCTCGAGGGAAGACACCCTTCATACGTGTTTTATGGCTACCATGTGTTTGTGTCAAATTGTTGTAAGACAAAGGTGGCCTGGGAGGCTCTGATTCCATGGAATACATATTATCTGGTCTTGTTTGTTTGACCTATTTTTCTGGTATCTCTTTTGAGTTACCCCCGGTCCAATATCTTGCGGTTATTATTTGGTTTATGTTTAACCAAGATTTGTAATGTCATTAGATGTTACCTCCGGTATTTCAAGGGTTTATTAACTTTTGCCACCTGTCTGTATCCAGGGATCCGTGCTTTTTATTCTCGAGTTATATTTTGATATCCTGAGGTCGGAGATATAATTAAGGTTCCACTTAAGCTTTCTTGACTGCCGGAATTCATATTCCTTGGTTTTCTTGGTAAAGTCACGTAGATAGAAAGATACCATTAAAAATATGTATATGCGGTGAATAAGAGTAAAATAAGGAAAGTAATAATAAAGCCACTAATGTAGACTGCAGTCTGGTTCTTAATCTGGCAGTCTATAATGTCGATCTTTTCTTGTCGCTAAGTTTCGACTTTTTACCGGAGAGAAGAAAAAAAAACGCCGGTTGTAATGTACGATTGTCCCTGCTATGTGTCTGTGTTTTACGGCTCTGCAGATTTGTTTGTGAACTGTCCAAAACGTCCGTGGGGATGTCATGGCATGCAGTCCTTTGACAATCTGGAGATTTTCAGATCGTCGTTAACCCCTCTTTGCCCCGGAGTTTATTATTTAAAATTTTTATGACCTCCAGATGCTTGGTGTGGCTTCTGAGAGGTAATATGAAATTTTGGAAAAAGGCCGGTACAGTGGAACCTCGGTATACGTCGTTAATTCGTTCCAGAAGATAGGACTTATACCGAAAATGATGTATACCAAACGAATTTTTCCCATAAGAAATAAAGGGAAAGGAAATAATCCGTTCCAGAGGAAAATAAATGATATTTTAGATGGCATATTATACATTAAAATAGTTTAGACACTAATTACTAAAATGCATACAGAAACCACGTGACCGCGCTGCTGCCAGCTGAGCTGGTCACGTGGCGTGCCTCAACCCCGCACGTCGCGCGCGCCTCGACCCGGGGCTCCACTCTCCATGGGGGCAGCCCCCGACGCCCCCCGCCCCTCTCCCCCACGTCCCCCGCCCCTCTCCCCCACGCCCCCCGCCCCTCTCCCCCACGCCCCCCGCCCCTCTCGCTTTGTTTCAGTCGTGGACGGGGCATACGCGGGTACTGTACGCGGTGACTCATCCCGACCCATGCAAGTTCTAGCAAACACGTCGTATCCCAAGCAGGATGTATCCCAAGAAATTGTTTTCTTGAAAAAACACGACGTATGCCAAATTCGATGTATTCCAAAGCAGTCGTATACCGAGGTTCCACTGTATATGTAGAGGAGTAGAACAGGGCTTGACCTCATGCGCACCCTTCTGGTAAGATGACGTCACGGGACGTGACATTTATTAAAAAGTATATTTAATTAAGTAGAACGTGTTGTCTATATTGATTTAAAGTTGTGCATTTTGATGTGACGTCACATTTCTCAACCCCCCCCCCCCTCGTCACACATAGTCACAAATGTCTGACCCCCCCCCCAGGTGCGTGACGTCATCTATGGACGGTCCCTTACGTGCCCGTGCTGAATTTGTGTTTCGACCATTTACCTTCTAAAAACAATCTGGGTCATATCTCGCACACCCCTAGAGAGGGAATCTCGCACCCCCAGGGAGTTGCGTGATGTACCCTACGTCACGAAGAAGAAGAACCACCACTGCCCAAGGTGATGAGGGTGGCGCCTCTATGATGACCTCACGTTGCTGTGTCGCCCTCTCGTGGCGAGTCCCGGGGCACGACGCCTCCTGCACGGCCACGAGAGGGGAGTCGTGAAACATATTCTACTTCACTGTGAGTTGTGTAACCTGGACATGTTTAATTGATACTGTCACTGTGAGACTGTCTTTCTCTAAACCCAATACACGGTGTAAGTAAAATAATATAGTTAAAGCCTACAAACTAAACTGTTTTTATTGGACCAGGTAAGGCCCCACTGAGCTATTTCGCTATTTGGCAGAAGCGACCTGCAGGCCACCACAAATGGCAGCTCAACTTCGTGGCTGATCACCACGTGGACATTTATTGCAGCCAAACACTCTGAAGGCGCCATGTTGATTCTAGACGTGGAGGGGAAAACCGGGAGGATCCGGAGAAGAGTCCACGCGACTACGGGGAGAGAGACGCACACTCAAAATGTACAGCAGATGTCAGGGCCGGGATCGAACCCACGACCTCCTGTATACCAGGCGAGGTAGTTAACATCTCCTAGCCACCACGGCACCCCAAGCCCTCTGCGCCTGGCTAGAGGGGCTGTGCAGAGCGCCCTCTAGTGGAGGCCCTTATGCCTGCAGTGGCGTGAGCGAGCAGTTGCAGGGGCTGCACCTTCATCGTTGATCTTTGTCACATCGAGTGCCGTGTTTTACATTCTCCAGCGACCCCGACTGCTGATGAGACACTGAATGTCGAAACCGGTCCAGAATGTTTTTGCTGGCTTTGGAACCACCAATGGTGCTGCTGAAATTGTGCACTCACAGGAATATTTTTGTAGCTGCATTTTATTTTTGATGTGGAGGGGTCCGATGAACTTGAAAGAGACGAATCCGCTGGGGTTTTGGTCGATGTGGATTTGTAGTGGCGTGATGTGACCGCCAGGGGGCAGTGCAGTTGCGTGATGAGTTTCAGTGATTCATCACGCAGGCGGTTTGGGTTGTGGCGAATTGCCTGATGGAGTGGGGTGGAGTGGGGTGAGGGAGCTTGAGCCAGGGCCCTGCCCTTGAGATGAACGTTCACTTGCCTGCAGTGGAGCTTCCCAGCTACAGGCGTGTTGTGATAAGATGATTAATAGACAAGACTCGCTATGGCTGCAACATTTTTTTATTTTGTTATTGCCTTGAGTTTTTGGCGACCAGCATTTGAACCCCATGGCCGGACCCCGGGGTCCCATAAGCCCCCGGCTCTTGCATAAATATTATAATATTACGTAAATAATATATTATGTAAATATTATATAAATAATACAAACTTTGCTCTGTCACCTGAAAACGACTCACCTGCAGTACCTCTATTTAAATACACTATCGAAACAATACTTTATACCCCTCTGTCAATCATCGTGTTTCTAAGTGTGGATTTGTAAACACTTTGTAAACAGTACATACAATAGTACGCGTTTTCAATGCGCTGTTCATATTGTAAACAAGCGTTTAAACCGATGTTACTCTATAGAGTAGTGGGTTGCCCCTCCTCTTATCCGCATTGCTACGAGCGGTATGTGGGGACTATGGCTGAACCGCAAAGAAACACAGACGCATACGGACAGGAGAATTATTATGAAACAGGAGGAATTAACGGTGCAGCGCATCTCATCTGTTAAATATCTGCAGGTAATAGGATTGTCATCGATTGATCCTGGCTGCAGACATTGGTAGGTCACAAATAATAATGACGATAAGAGCAATTTCACTGTATTATGCACAACGTGATGACACAAAGCACTTAAGTCGTGTCGGCAGTTTGAGCAGCTTTGGATACGACTCATGATCCTGCCCATACGCGAGCATGGCGTGCAGCATTGGCTTGTTCAGCTCTTCTGCGCATTCGTCCTCGCTGCTGCTGCTGCGCTTGGACACGACATGACAACAGAATGATCCGCGCTCGGCGGGTCGCGGCGTTTGTGTGCGCGGTGGGACGGAGTCGCCAAAAATTAATTGATTAATTACGATTTTGACGTACGGTTCATGTCTATAAAAATAGAAAATACAAGTGGTTTTGCACCAATGTTTTCTCATAGTAAAAAATGTATACCATTAGGTTTACATGCTCTAAAAACAGCCAATGCTTGCAATATACAGATTTCATAAAACAATATTTACAACCGTAAATACGTAAAAATCTGCACCTTAAAAGGCAACATTTTCCCAACACTAATTATTTAATACATGAGGCTTCTAAACCAATGTCTTACTCTCACTGAAAATATGGATCTTCTAGACCAGTGGTTCCCAACCTTTCCGGGCCCACGTTCACTGCCAACCCTCCAAAAAAACAAGAACTTGCAGTAAGAAAGATGGCTTTGTGTAACATCGTGGGGTCCTTAAATCGTTCTGCAGAGCAATCCCCACGGCCTTGTTGATTGCCATGGGCTATGGCTCATAGCCCATAGGTTCAACCACTCCTCTTGACCCACACCTCCCAATGGTAAACAGAGACGGTAGTCAATATGCAATCTCAAGGCACATCTGGAATTGCAGCGCATAGTGCTCGTAATAGACATTCAATAAAGAATGTACCAAACAGTCCCAGTGTGAGAACCTCTTGAGTCGTCAGACTCGTGCATTCTGTGGGCAATGCACACAGATTCTGGCCCCTTAACACCACACACACAACTCTTATTACACCACAACCACACTCCAATACCACCCCCTCTGGCTCACACTCGTACACAAGCAAACGCACACAGCTCACACACCCACTCAGGTTCACACACAGACACACAATGCTGACATTCAGTAGAGCAGGAAGGGGCTGTAGGGAATCTGCATGGAGCTCACGGGAGATGGAAGACAGCGGTGGTGCAGCCCAGGCGAGGAGAGACACAGACAGAGGGGAAGTCGGCAACGTCTGGAGTCTGGACGTGAGCAGGGTGAGTCTGCGGCGAAAGTGACCGGGCACTTTGGAGTTGAGGGTTCACGAATCACAGATTTGTGAGACTCCCCAGAACCCACTGGGCTATGAAGTGGGCGTTAATAAGCGACCAGACATTTGGAGGTTGACGGAGGGTTTTCCGGAGTGGAGAACACGTGGTGGGGAGTACATAGAGGTGAGAGGTGAGAGGAAGCGTAAAGTCTACGGAGGATCGTGTAGGCGGTGAGAGTGCGATCTCGCAGTCGATTGGGGACGGGATTGGGAGCCAGTGGCAGAATCTGAAGATTGGGATGATGAGATTTCACTTACACAAGTCGTGAGGTGAGGCAGCAGCGGTATTCTGGATCGTGTGGAATTTAGCATTCAGGGATTTGGAGCTGCCAGAGAGGAGGAGTTTGGAGAGTTAACGTTACGCAGGAAAAGATGACAAAGCCATGAAGATCTGGGAAAACAGATCTTCATGCCGGCCAGGGTGGTCATGGGGGAGCCGGTGATCACTTCAAGCGGCGACTGTCCCCACATCTCCATTTTCCTCTGTGGGTCCGGTCGTTATCATCGTCATCAGTGGAATCCCATTCTCCTCCTCATCACCGCGCACGTCTGCTTGCACATCGCCACTGAGGAACAAGAACAAAACACGAGTTTACAAACCGCACGGTGCCTGCACCCAGCAACACCTGGACACAGTTCATGAGGAATTGGCCCAGAGGCTCAGTGGTGCCAACTCGGCACCTCTGAGGACCCAGGCCAGCTTCCTGCGATCACGTTCATTATTGAGGAGCTGGGCTGGGGGATCCTGGTGCCTGGGCTCGAGGTAAAAAAAAAAAAATTTCTTTAAAACTGCTTTGTGCGTTTAGTTTGTTGTCCTTCCCCCGCACCTCCGGTTAGCTACGGTTTGCTACGTAGGGTGCGAAAGAAGTTCACACACGCGCTGTACATACCTGTGTGAGCCGGGGGAGCTCCTAGACGACCGACGGCGGTTCTGGATGAAGAGGACGGCAGCCACTGCTACCACGACCCCCACCACTGCCACCACTGCCACCACCGCTACCGCCACAATCCCCTTCGTGCCCAAGTGGGGACTTGCTGTGGGCGAGGTCTCCGCTGCCGCAGCGACAGTCGTGCCACTTGCACCGCCGTGCGGCTGTGGATCTGCAGAGACACGGACGGCGGTGTCAAGAACCTACACAGAGAGGGGGGCTCAACGAGACCCCCACTCGCACCCAGCACCACCACCCCACCCAGCGACTCAACACAGCTTCACGTGCATTGGAGAAATTCATGATGCAGGTCATACAGAAGAGATGCATGAAGGGGAACAGCACAAGCTCACCTTTCAAATCACGTGGCCAAACACAACCAAAGCCAAGACTTCTCTAATATTTGACAAACACGTCCTGGGCAATTGTAAAGTGCGTTTTAAAATGCGGCGACGTGGGCACACTCCCCTGCTTCCACGCTCACTCACCTTCAAACGCACTCAGCGTCACGATCAGTCGACTCGCGTTGACGAGTTTATAATCTAGCACAGAGTCCCTGGAGTTGTTGGGCAGCAAGAGGGAGCAGTCGCCCTTGGCCAGGTCTCCCACGAATGTTGCCAAGTCAGGTCGAAAATCCTCTTGGCGCGAGTCGTAGATCTGAAAGGAGAGGAACCACCAGCGGTCACCCCAACGTTGCTTAGTCAATTTTTTTTGCACGTGTGAAATTTGGCACGGGGCTTTTGATGAGGATCGCGCCAGCGATATGCTAATGTGTGTTGCACAACCTCCTCCACCTGTCGCTGGTAAAATAAATTAAGTAGTCATGTGAAGAGTGGTTCGTGCTTCACACCTGTGTGGACATGTTGATGACATCACACAGACTAATTGAAACTAAACGACCAGGTAAGGCCCACAGAGCTCTATAGCTCTCTTCTTTCAGACGCGACCTGGCTATCACAAATGATAGCTCAACAAAGTGGCTTATCATCACGTGGAAATGTACAGCAGCAGACAAATAATTTAAATAACGAGAGACTTCAGAAGACCACAGTCGTGGAGGCAGCGGTTCAAGAGTGCAAGCTGAGAAGGGAGGACATCGCAGGGAGAAGCAGACTGTGTGGGATTGTTAAAAACCTGGAAATGTCACTTATTAGCAAAAAGTGCACTTTGATTATTGCCTGCAGAAGTTACCAGATTCGATTCGTTGCTTGAGGATTTGGTGACTTTGAGGTTGATAGGACCCGTGCTGTTCGGCAGTAGAGAGAAGGAGCATCTCACAAGCACTGTCCCGACCAGACCCCCTGGCACAGCGATCGAAGCAGACAACACATCTACGCAAAGAGAGACAAGTCACACTTGTTACGGACATGGAGAGAGACTGGTCACATTGATTGCAGAGGTCGGATGCTTAGCATATACCCACTCGGGTCAGGGTAATGGTTGAACTCTGGGTTGGTGCCAGGATTGAGGTCCGAATTAGTGTCAGCGATAGTGTGCAGTTAGCGCGCTGCGCTACGAACCCAGCGACCCAAGTTCGATTCCCCCTCACGGCCAACACCAGTGTCAATTATCTGAACCGGTCTTGGGCCTCACGTAGGTCGGCTCAACCCCAAATAAATCTGCTGCTGTGTGTAAACATTTCCATTGGAGGGACAAAGGCGGCTTAAGCACTTGACTTGATGCCTCGGTGACATCGACTGGTGGGTGAGTCCTAGCAGCCCACTCACAGTGACTAGGAAATGTTTACTACCTCGCCTGGTATGCAGGAGGTCGTGGGTTCGATCCTAACCTTGACAGCTGCTGTATATTTGGAGTATGCATGTGCTCTCTCCTCGTGATTTTTTTCTCCAGGACTTCCGGTTTTTCCCTCCACATTCACAATGAAAACGCGTTTAGAGTATCTGACTGCTTTAATATATCCACGTGATAATAAACCACTTTGTTGAGCTATCATTTGTGATAGCCAGGTAGCTTCTGAGAGCGACATAGCTCAGTGGAGCCTTACCTGGTAAAATAAAAAAATGTATTTGGTATAAAAATGTAAATAGTTTCGCTAACTTACAACCACATCTGTCTCTGAATATAACCTCCCTGCGTCTGTGAGCGATTCTGAGTTACAGACCATCTTACAGTCTTTCCCGCTTCTAGGATCGTGAAGTCCCAGCTCCAGAAAATCTTTGACGATCTTATCGAGCCATAGATCCCCCCCCCGGACAAACCTCCGGTCATTTTTACACCCATGTCACCGTACGAGATGGATTTTGGCAAAACTTTGACCGTCCATCCCCACTTCTACGCGTGAAGATCACCGGCACATTGAGGGAGACAAAGTCAGGGTGAGGGTCCCCGGGTTCGGTTTGACTTCATCGTAGAGACACAATAAATGTCCTCAGGGTTGTCACTTAGAGGCCGACGTCACAGTCCCTGCTACAAAATAAACCCCAAACCACTGCCCACCCACCAGACCTGCAGGCCATGCTTCCACCCCCATATGGAAGACGCCGTGCCACCCGATTATGCACAACCCCTGCCAAGCTACGCCCTTGCCCCCCAAGTTGCCAGACCATTTCTCCCTGGATAGAAGCTCCCTGGACCAGTGGCGCCTTTAATCTTCTTCACTGCTGTCCCGATATGGAACTGCCTCCCTGATGAAAGCATTGTCGGCGAAATCACCGACTTGGGTCTTCCGGGCCTTCAAATGGCGAGCACGTGGTACATCTCCTAACTTCACCACACGCCTTGTACGGACTGAGTCTTTGAGCTGCATGAGTGAACCAATGATTATGCCGATTTGATGAAGTATGGCTGTCGTTCACAATTGCACCGCATACAAAAAGAGGACTGTAGGGTGTGAACGAATCGTGCGTCAACTTACGTGTGATGACAATGAACAGGACGGCGACTATGCAGGCGAACTTGCCCTCCATGTCCTCCTGGTGACAAAAAAAGAACGATTCACGAAGGGCTCGCGCAGCCGTTCCATTCACCTCCGTTCGGCGGAGGAGACGGGACCCCCTTTTGTTTGAAGCGCCGATGAGTCAGGGATCACGTGGTCTCGCGGGGCGGGGTCACGTGGTCTCGCGGGGCGGGGGTCACGTGGTCTCGCAGGGCGGGGTCACGTGGTCTCGCGGGGCGGGGTCACGTGGTCTCGCGGGGCGGGGTCACGTGGTCTCGCGGGGCGGGGTCGTCTCGCTTAGACGGGGGCCGGAGACGATCCGGCACAAATCGCTCGGTAAAGAAGCCACCGCGCTCAGGCACAGGACCCTCGTGTTCCCCGTTGACTCACTGCCAAGTTAAAAGTCGAGTTCGTTTCTGCCCCCAAAATGCTCCACTCTCGAACGACTTTTTTTCACGCGAGAAATACAAATTACTTCTTTCTTCTTGGTTCTTTCGGTAAAATCACGTAGAAGGGAAATAATAGAATAATAAAAATAAAACATAATAAAATAATTCTCACGACGTTTCGGCCACAACGCAAGCAGCCGTCCTCAGGTGGAGAACAGGTCTGTCGAAAAGACAGCGTCTGAATTATGTTATATTTTTATTATTTTATTATTTCCCTTCTACGTGACTTTACCGAAAGAACCAAGAAGATGAATCCCTGCAGTCACGAAAGTTTTAAATCGAAATTTACTTCTTTCTTGTTTTAAAATAAAGCAATTAAAAGTAAAATGTAAACACTTGCCGCACATGAAGAACCACAGCACAAGATCTCCCGTGATAGCATATGATAGAACCTCCTTACAGCCATATATTTTAAATCACTCTCACACTCTCCACTCAGTCACACAGCCCTCTCTCTCTCTCTAGAGTTGAAGCTTTCGTGACTGCAAGGATTCATACTCTTAGTTCTTTCGGTAACGTCACGTAGGTAAAAACATGAAATTTAAATTAATTAAATAAAACTGTGATTTTATTGTTTTATTTTATTAATTTTAATTTCATTTTATTACCTACGTGACTTTACCGAAAGAACTAAGAGTATATACTCTCTCTCTACACGTCACCCCGCCCCACTCGAGACAAAGATCCCCCGTGTAGCCTGTAACAGACTGTAGGGGCAAGTGCTGTTAGCGAGCCGCACCTATGAAGGCCGGCACGGCACACGAGGGGTGGGTGGCCAGCACCACGCCCAGCCACCTTCGTCTCACGAGCGGCGATGTGTGTGGTGTGTGTGAGTGCTGTGTGTGTGTGTGAGTGCTGTGTGTGTGTGTGCTGTGTGTGCGAGTGCTGTGTGTGTGTGCGAGTGCTGTGTGTGTGCGAGTGCTGTGTGTGTGCGAGTGCTGTGTGTGTGCGAGTGCTGTGTGAGTGCTGTGTGTGTGAGTGCTGTGTGGTGTGTGAGTGGTGTGTGAGTGCTGTGTGTGTGAGTGCTGTGTGTGTGAGTGCTGTGTGGTGTGTGAGTGCTGTGTGTGTGAGTGCTGTGTGTGTGTGTGAGTGCTGTGTGTGGTGTGTGTGAGTGATGTGTGTGGTGTGTGTGAGTGATGTGTGTGAGTGCTGTGTGTGAGTGCTGTGTGTGGTGTGTGTGAGTTATGTGTGCGAGTGCTGTGTGTGTGCGAGTGCTGTGTGTGTGCGAGTGCTGTGTGTGTGCGCGAGTGCTGTGTGTGTGCGCGAGTGCTGTGTGTGTGCGAGTGCTGTGTGTGCGAGTGCTGTGTGTGCGAGTGCTGTGTGTGCGAGTGCTGTGTGTGTGCGAGTGCTGTGTGTGTGCGCGAGTGCTGTGTGTGTGCGCGAGTGCTGTGTGTGTGCGCGAGTGCTGTGTGTGTGCGAGTGCTGTGTGTGCGAGTGCTGTATGTGTGAGTGCTGTGTGTGGTGTGTGTGCGAGTACTGTGTGTGGTGTGTGTGTGGTGTGTGTGCGAGTGCTGTGTGTGGTGTGTGTGTGGTGTGTGTGTGGTGTGTGTGTGGTGTGTGTGCGAGTGCTGTGTGTGGTGTGTGTGTGGTGTGTGTGTGAGTGCTGTGCGTGTGTGCTGTGTGTGTGAGTGTTGTGTGTGTGAGTGCTGTGTGTGTGTGTGGTGTGTGTGCGAGTGCTGTGTGTGGTGTGTGTGAATGCTGTGTGTGTGTGAGTGCTGTGTGTGGTGTGTGTGTGCGAGTGCTGTGTGTGGTGTGTGTGCGAGTACTGTGTGTGGTGTGTGTGTGGTGTGTGTGCGAGTGCTGTGTGTGGTGTGTGTGCGAGTGCTGTGTGTGGTGTGTGTGTGGTGTGTGTGTGAGTGCTGTGCGTGTGTGCTGTGTGTGTGAGTGTTGTGTGTGTGAGTGCTGTGTGTGTGTGTGGTGTGTGTGCGAGTGCTGTGTGTGGTGTGTGTGAATGCTGTGTGTGTGTGAGTGCTGTGTGAGTGTGTGCGTGCACTTTCCGTCACCGGCACATTTCACTGCTCCCCAGAGCAGGAGTTGCACCCAGATGTACTCTCGTTACAAGCGGCAGGGAACTTGTGGCAAGACGCATACCACTCACAAAGTCACACATAGACACACAGAGTGATAGACACAGCGTGATAGACACACAGTGATAAACACACAGACACACATAGACACACAGACACACACAGACACAGAGTGATAGACACAGACACACACAGACACAGAGTGATAGACACACAGACACACATAGACACAGAGTGATAGACACACAGACACACATAGACACAGAGTGATAGACACACAGACACACACAGACACAGAGTGATAGACACACAGACACACATAGACACACAGTGATAGACACACAGACACACATAGACACAGAGTGATAGACACACAGACACACATAGAAACAGAGTGATAGACACACAGACACACATAGAAACAGAGTGATAGACACACAGACACACATAGACACACAGTGATAGACACACAGACACACATAGACACAGTGATAGACACACAGTCACACATAGACACAGTGATAGACACACAGTCACACAGACACACAGTGATAGACACACAGTCACACAGACACACAGTGATAGACACACAGTCACACAGACACACAGTGATAGACACACAGTCACACAGACACACAGTGATAGACACACAGTCACACAGACACACAGTGATAGACACAAAGTCACACAGACACACAGTGATAGACACACAGTCACACAGACACACAGTGATAGACACACAGTCACACAGACACACAGTGATAGACACACAGTCACACAGACACACAGTGATAGACACACAGTCACACAGACACACAGTGATAGACACACAGTCACACAGACACACAGTGATAGACACACAGTCACACAGACACACAGTGATAGACACACAGTCACACAGACACACAGTGATAGACACACACAGACACAGAGTCACGCAGTGATAGACACACATATACACACAGTGATAGACACACAGTAATAGACACACAGTCACACAGACACACAGTGATAGACACACAGTCACACAGACACACAGTGATAGACACACAGTCACACAGACACACAGTGATAGACACAGTCACACAGACACACAGTGATAGACACACACAGACACAGAGTCACACAGTGATAGACACACAGTGATAGACACACAGTAATAGACACACAGTCACACAGACACAGAGTGATAGACACACATAGACACAGAGTGATAGACACACAGTCACACAGACACACAGTGATAGACACACAGAGTGAAAGACACACAGAGACAACGTCACACACTCACAAAGGTAAAGACACGAGGAGTCGATGAACCAAATGGAACCCCGAGAATTGCGGTCGGTACCCAGGGACGCAGTCTCCGTGAGCAGGGCGAGAGAGACAACCTCACCTCCTCTCAGCTGTGATGATGATGATGGGGGGGAAGAGCAGGACACCAATAACGCGACTGGGCGTCTCTCTCACCTGGCTGTGCTCGTCGCTTCTATGCGGCTCGGCGGGAAGCTGTAGCACCACGCCCCCTCGCCTCCCATTGGTCCGAGCGACCTCATTAATATTCAAATGACGGCACGTTCAGCCCGCTGATTGGTTGATTCTGCCGAGGTGCATTAACGTGTCTCTGGGTGTGGTGGGGGACCATGTGGCAATGGCTGCTGTGTGTGCCGCATTTTTCCCGCCAATTTTTTTTTATTACGACACGTGCACTATACGCGTATTATATTTCGATTTAAAGCTTTCGTGACTGCAGGGATTCATCTTCTTGGTTCTTTCGGTAAAGTCGCGTAGAAGGAAAATAATAAAAATATAACATAATAAAATAATTCTCACGACGTTTCGGCCACAACGCAAGCAGCCGTCCTCAGGTGAAGAACAGGGCTGTCAGGCGCTGTCTTTCCGACAGACCTGTACTTCACCTGAGGACGGCTGCTTGCGTTGTGGCCGAAACGTCGTGGGAATTATTTTATTATGTTTTATTTTTATTATTTTATTATTTCCCTTCTACGTGACTTTACCGAAAGAACCAAGAAGATGAATCCCTGCAGTCACGAAAGTTTTAAATCGAAATTTACTTCTTTCTTGTTTTAAAATAAAGCAATTAAACGTAAAATGTAAACACTTGCCGCACATGAAGAACCACAGCACAAGATCTCCCGTGATAGCATATGATATAACCTCCTTACAGCCATATATTTTAAATCACTCTCACACTCTCCACTCAGTCACACAGCCCTCTCTCTCTCTCTAGAGTTGAAGCTTTCGTGACTGCAAGGATTCATACTCTTAGTTCTTTCGGTAAAGTCACGTAGGTAAAAAAATGAAATTTAAATTAATAAAATAAAACAGTGATTTTATTGTTTTATTTTATTAAATTTAATTTCATTTTTTTACCTACGTGACTTTACTGAAAGAACTAAGAGTATATACTCTCTCTCTCTCTACACGTCACCCCCCCCCCCCCCCCCCCGAGACAAAGATCCCCCGTGTAGCCTGTAACAGACTGTAGGGGCAAGTGCTGTTAGCGAGCTGCACCTATGAAGGCCGACACGGCACACGAG